TTATATTTCTTTCCCTCTATGATATCATTATTTATTTATTTTAAGACCTAGATAAAACTCATCTTATATTCAGTATGAAAGTTTGTTGGAAGGAATATTTATGATTTTATCCCCGGAAACCATTGAGCTAACTGTATAATTTCTCTACGATCAATCTGATGGTCTTAATGAGTCTATTTTGAGCTTTTTTCTGTCAAGGCAAGAATCTAAATCCGCTTTTCACTAGGCTTGTAATGGATTACGCTTTTTCTAAGTTGGAAGCTGATTCCCCTAGAATTATGCAATCAAACCTACGGTTGCAAATCCGAAGAAGAAAATCTCCTTTCAGTTTCCGATTTAGCAAAAGTTCATCTTTATCAGATTCAAAATTGGCAACTTGATCTACTTATCTTTGTTTCTTGTAATATTTTTAACCATCTTACTTTATCTACCAGGTTTGAAGCATTTCACTCCCTCTTACGGTTCTGAGCGACGTTATGAAGGAGAAGAGTTTTCTGATAGCCAAAGCAATAAGATGATCGACCACACGAATAAGATGGATGAGGAGACTTGGATCGAGGTGGATCTTGACACCGAGTGGAATCTGCCTGGACCCGGTCCTGCGGACGCCCTTGAGGCTTGGTTACATTGGAATAAACAGGTGGCTGTGGATGAGGATATTGATAGCCAAAATAAAGGCACAAATGCATTTATGAATGAGGACAGGCTGGAAACAAAGGCAGGCTGGAGTCCTTTCGCGGGGTGGCCTGTCAAAGGCAAATTATGCCGTGTTGTCCTACGCGGGGAAATTGTATTTGTTGACGGAAAAGGTAATTGCTTCATATTTTCATGCCGAACAATTCCTTTTATATTACTTTTTCCATGTTTATTTTATGATAGGCACACTGAACTAGTTTATTTTAAAGGACTAAACAACTATACCTTACTGTAAACCGATCATTTTCCCTGTGAATGCTTAAGTATTATTTTATAAAGAACTATACGCTAATACTGTACTTTGAAGACTATCAAGCCGCTCTTAATAAGTAGTGATTGTTTTGGCT